GCCCCCATAAAAAAAAATACCCTTGCACATGCGCATATAAAATAATACAATCACCCCCATACACATAGGAAAAAAAACTACCCCTGCACATGAAAAAAAATACACTCCCCACCCCCATACACATAAAAAAGCTTCCCCTGCACATATAAAAAAAAAACTATAATACACATTTAAAAAAATACATCCCCTCCACCACATATAAAATAATAAAAACTCCACCTCCCCACCGCACATCTACATATAATATGAAAATAAAATACAGATCCCCCTCTCCTGCTTACCTTTTTGCAGGGAGGAGGCAGATTGATCCCTGGTGCTCTGGTGGCGATTAGTGAGGTCTGCTGCAGACCTCACTAATCCATCCTTTCTTCCAGCCGGAGCTCAGAACTGAGCTCCAGGCAAAATGATCTCAGTGTCAGGAAGAGCAGCTCTGCGGTCTGCATCCGTTAGAGATGCAGACCGTGTAGCTGCTCCCGCAAGTCAGGTATGCGATCCGCGACCGCATACCTGGCTTGTCACCTGGCTGCGGGCCACATAGTACTGGCTTGCGGGCCGGTACTTTGAGACTGATGGTCTATGGTGTCAAAATATCTCTAAGTCACACCAAAAGAAGGACATACAGCATTTTCAAAATAGATAAAAGAAAATCAAATATATGTGAACAGACAGCACAGGAAAAGATGAGATTCCTCTTGTCATGTGATGGATAGAAAATCACGCAGACCTAAATGGGAACTAATGATGCAGTTACAAAAGAGCCTGAATTAATAAGCAATATAGATTTAAGTCTTTCAGTGCTTTTGATTACCCTAGGTTTAAACATGGCAACACTTGTAATTCCAAAACAGAATGATAATATTCACATAAAGGAAAACTATTTCCATTGTTATGGAATTATACTATATCATTATCTACAAAGGATACAATCTAGGTATAAGCTCCCGTATAGAAGCAATCTTGAAAAACCAGTTCAAACAGGTCTCCTTTGCAGTTTCATTCACATGGTCAGGGGTGAAATTTGCTGTTAACATGTTGAAGACAAAAAAAAATTGACATACAGTACATAACTGGCAATGTTGACATTGTGTGATTTCTATTTTACTTGGTCTAAAATGCCCATTCAATACCTGTAGTTATGACAGCACTGAATGAAATTCAGGGTTAAAATTGATCACAAAGTTAACCTTGAGACACCGCAATCTGGCAACTAACAACTGTTAAAAGGTACCAGTAAAATCCATTTTTTGGAGTACAGTACAAGACACACGCAGATTCAGAGACAACTGGATAATACGCAGGTTTCATTAGGGTATTAGACACTGGTCAGAGCTGTAAAGACCCCCCGTATAACCCCTCCCTCTCCAGGAAATTCACAGGACAGAGAGAGGAGGGTGCAGTGTCCTGTGCTGTACTCCAAGAAATGGATATTGATAAGTAAAAAATCCTATTTTCTTGAACATACAGTACAAGACACAGGCAGATTCAGAGATGACTTGGACATCCACAAGAAATGCACTGAGGTGTGAGCAACACATCAAAACAACTGCCCACTGGCCCATAACAGAAAAACAAGGTGAAACCCCAAATCAGAGCAGCCTGTAGCACCTTATAGCCCAAACTGGCATCAGCAGAGGCGCACATGTCCATCTAGTAGAATATATAAACAGAAGACCAGGTGGCAGCCTTACAAATCTGCAACACAGATGCCTAAAAGACGAAAAGGCACTGACAGATCTAGTAGACTGAGCCTTTACAGAGAAAGGGTGGTCTAATCCACCTTGAAATAGTGAAACAAGATGTAGGGAGCCCATTGCGAGGTCCTTCAGGAAGGACAAATAATTCTATTGTCAGAAGGGAGCTGTAACCGAATGGTAAACTCAAGAAGCCCTAACCAAATCCAAAAAGTGGAAAGCCATCTCCAAGGGGTGTTTTGTAGCCAGAAAAAAAAGGAAGGAAAAACAATATCCTCATTAAGTAGCTTGTGATAGATCTCCGTAGAGGGCAAGCGAACCATAGGGGTCAGGCAGGGGAGCAGTAGAGCGAGAAAGGTACATCAGCTATTCCTTTACGTGATAGCAGTGGATGCGGGCTATCACATCTCTGGGTACTGAGTCAGGTACGTGTGCAGGCTTTGGCAGCCGGTGGGCCCGGTCTACAAAGGTCTCATATTCCGCCAGAGAGGGTAGTAGATCCTTGATCATCCGTTGCACAAAGTCCCGCAACTGGGCCGGAGACACATTTTCAGGGACCCCTTCGAAATTTTATATTGTTCCGTCGGGCCCTATCCTCCAGGTCTGCCAGTTTCAGGGCCATGGTGCGAATCTCAGCAGACGTGTCAGCACAGGCATCCACCAGTTCTTTGTGGGCTTCTGCGTATTCTCCCATCTTATTTTCAACATGGCTCACCCTGTCCCCCAGCTCATGAATCTCACACCTCATTTGCTGCATGACAGACACCATATCACTATGTAGGAAACTGCGTAGTGACACCAGCATATCTTTCAGAACCGTGTCCACTACAGGGGTGTTAGAGGTAGGAAAGGTGTCAATGGGGTCATGGAGTTCCCTAGTGTCATCCAGGGGGAGAGTTACCTGGGGTGTGAAGGATTGCTGTGTAGGCCGCTTCTGACGATCTTGCTGTGGATTGCCCGCAGTAGACGAGGAGCTGCTGGGTGGTGTAGTGCCCCGGGTCCCGCCGAACATTCTTTCAGGAGCCGCAGCTTTTCCCTTGTGGTGCAGGGCAGAGCCGAGTGGGACGCCTCGTGTGTCTCCGGCGCCATCTTGCCTGGCCGGAGCTCCGGCTACAGTGAAGAAGTCGGTCAGTTTGCGGGGACCGCTCTTCTTCGTTTTTCTCCCCATGCAAGCTGAGGTAGTGAGCGGGTTCTCCGCTGCCTGAGGGGAACGGATGTTGGCACTCAGTCGCTGGGAATGTCGCTGGTTAGCTGTTAGACCTGCAGAGCCTCTCTACTGTGCGGCCATCTTCTCCGGCGTCAGGCCACGCCCCCATCCTCATTAAGTAGGAAGGACACTACCTTACACAAAAATGAATCTTTTGGTCTGAGAACAACCTTATACTTGTGAAGAACAAGGAAAGGAGCTTTGCACAAAAGTGCAGCTCATTTCTCAACACTCCGAGCGGAGGTGATGGCGAAGGAATACAACCTTGCATGTAAGATCCTGATAGGAGATGTCACGCATAAGTTCAAAAGGAGCTTGTTGCAGAAAGGAAGGAACCATACTGAGGTACTCCTGAAGAAATGCCTTTAGCAAAGAATGTGAGGCCAAGGGCCACTGAAAAAGGATGGCTAATGCCAATATATCTGTCCCTCAAAGTACTCGGGGCCAATTGTTGATCCAGCACAGATAGGAGAAAGGCTAACACTCATCCCTCAGAGTAGGTCCAAGGATGATACTATTGTTGTTCGCACCAGTCAAAATAAGTCTTCCAGGTACGATGGTACAGGAGAGGTGGACTTCCTAGCTTACAGGAATGACAGAGTCCAACAGACCTCTATCCCTCAGGACTGGGGCTTCAACAGCCAGGCTGTCAAAGAAGCAACCAAGAAGCAGAACGCAGTACCGGACCTTGCAATGGATGGTTCTCACGATGTGAAAGCGGCCACAGAGAGTACACCAGCATCCTGAGGATGTCAGCTTACTGCAATCTTATGGGCTAGTTTGGAGTTACAAGGATCACTGAAAAGCCTATCTCCGCAATCCTGTGTAGGGGGCGAAGAAGAATCTTTAATGGAGGAAAGGCATAGACAAGGGAGAATGGAGCTACAAGCGCATCCACTGCAAATGCTCTCAGATACCTGGACAGGATACAAACCTGTTCAGTTTGTTGTTCAGTCTGGACGCAAACCCTTCTAACCCTTGGAGCACCCCAATGGCAACAGATCTCCTGAAAGACCTTTAGGCTGTAGAGACCATTACCTCAAGTCCAACTTCTGTCTGCTTAGGAAGTCTGCCTGCCAACTGTCCATCACCGAACTTTACATGACGGACAGGGCTGGAAGGTTCTGTGTCTGCAATCACAGAGTTAGCAGCTTGCCATGCGGAAGAAATGCTCTGCCCTGGCTTGTGTCCATGAGTAGTCCCAGGTACTCTAACCAGTGGGTTAGTTCCAAAATAGGAGATTGAGAACCCACCTGACAGTTGCAGTGACAGAATGCTGTATTTTTCATTGCTGGGATGTTCTGTCCTCTAAAAATGATGGTATTCTGCATAGTTGTGTAATGTATTGGTGGGATTTTTAGCCATTTACAGCCGTGCCATTCTGCATTGATGTATAATATATTGTTAAGAATTGTACTCCTCTATAGTTGCTGGTATAATGAATTGATATATAATGTATTGCTAAAATTTGTAGTCAGTGGCAGAACTACCAGAATTGCAGCGGTCACAGCTGCAACCAGGCCCTAGCGCTCCACCACTGTCCTAAAATCATTAAGTCTGTATTGTTTTAGAAATACTGTCACATTGCACTAAAAAAAAAAAGGTATCTATAATTGTTATTGGTGAGTACTTGAGGGAAAGTACTGGTACTCGTACTGGAAAAAATGGTTTTGGTGCATCCCTACCATAGACTTATGCGTGCTTGGCAGGAGCAAGCTTTTAATACACGTTACCTTCTTGATGAAGGCATCCAGACCCTTGCCAAACAGTCACTGTTCTGCAAAGGAAATCCTTTCCAGACATTTCATGCAGGCCAGTTCCACTGACCAGTACTGTAGCCACAGGATTCTACCCATCTGTATAGAAAGAAGTCCTGCGCCTGTCAGAATGGAGCTAGGATCATGCACTATCCATTTCATCCAAACTGCCAGAGACTGACATTTCTGGAGAGCAAATATTTTTTCAGGATTTTGTCAATCTGTGAAAAGTGCATCCTCCACTAAAGAGTGCGTTGTATATGCCCGGCCTAAAAGATCTCTTTTGGAACCAATACTGGTGACATTGAAAATTCTAATTGCTAGGCATTCGCTGACTTCATCAGCATCTCAATGATGTCACCCATCTTTTGTGAAAGGATCGGGGATAGCAGATCTTTTTAACCTCCCTGGCGGTAATCCCGAGTCTGGCTCGGGGTGAATTTTCCATACCAGGAGCGGTAACCCCGAGGCAGACTCGGGGCTGCAGAGAAAAGTTTATTATAATTTCTTATAATTATTTATAATTTATTATATTATAATTTTTTAATTTCGTGTTTCAAACTTTATCATACCTGGGATGTCTACTGGGCTCTTGTTTGGACAGATTTAGGTGAGTTATTCCTAAGATTTACTAAGAATTGCAGGCCTACAATACATAACACCAAATTTCCATGCAAAAAATTGTACCGCTTTTGGTACAAAATTCCTGACATAATCATACCGCCAGGGAGGTTAAGTATACACCTCTACTTCTGCACCCCCCTCCTCCTCCTCTGTTGTACAGGCAGTAGCCGTGACCACATCTGAGATCAACTTGGAGAGGGACTACGCTTGCGCCCTCTTTGGCTAGTCACACCTAATAAGGTGTTTATCTGACCCATGGACACTGCCATAGTAGCTGCCAATTCCTGGACAGGGCTACTGAGGCATTAGAGGAGGGCCTACTGGTGTACTTGATGGTTTGTCTACAAGCCCCAAGCAGGAGTATTAGCAAGTCCTCCTTGCCCTTTAGCATCTGGGTCCCCAAGTCCCCTTGCATTTTCTTATGTGCCATAGTGAGGGTCCCTACAAGGTGCACGAAGACCTGCACCACGGGTTACCTTTGTGGTCGTAGTGGTCCTTGCACCAAGAAATGCACTCTGCTTGTGAATGATAGTGCCTTCAAGCTCTTGCATGTGTCTCAGCACATGTGCCCCTTCTTAAGATGGCTGACAGCATGCAGGGCGTCCCAATATACACAGGTTCAGGCAGCTGAGATGTACCAAGATGGCCACTACCAGTTTTACTGAGTATTTGCTGGTGAAAGACCCCTGTAGGGCCTTAGGCATTCACTGTTATTGCCCATGCAGTGGAGGGTGGATTTTTA